CTTTTCAGGACCCCACCTTGATGTTTCGGGACCCCACTTTGGGTCCCGACCCCAACTTTGGGAAACACTGCTCTAGAACATAAATCCCCGAAATGAACCAGGAGACGAGGTCTTACTTATCAAACAAGGACAAAAATGTGATTGTRTTTCTTCTGGACGTACCTCTGTTTGTATTTTAAGACAGTCAGATTTTGGCGAGTTGTGTGCAACAAGAGTCGGATTAAAACCCTTTTTGCTCAGCAGCCAGTACGTCTTCTGTAACCCTTTACCCTGAGAGAAAACATGGTCTGGTCACAACATGTCGAAAACAAAGAACTAAMATTCACATCATAGAGATGTCACCTTCAGCTCAACTTCCCCTCTTTCCTCCAACTCAAATGATCCAGCCTGGACAAGAATGTCAGCTGTGGACTGAGAAATGTGAATCTTCAGGGCTGCAAATAAAAACTTTATTTAGATTGTTCAAATTTAGTGTTTGAGTCTTTAGTATTTCAGCAATCAACGTATGTTGTTTAGGTTCTTGGTGGTGCTCCGTCTCCAGAGCTTAAAGGTTTACCACAACCTGGTTAAATTATGGACATTCCTACAGTCATTAGTTGGCTGCGACAAAATCAGGWGGTGTCCAATCTCAGTAGTAGAGGCAGTCCAGTGGCAAATAAGACAAGATGCTTATATCTTTAATTTAAAAGGCTTAAAATACATCATTCTGACCACATGTTAACTTCCTCAAACTGGTTTTATTGCGCCCTCTAGTGAAACACTTTGGTAATAGAATCAAAAACAGAAAGAACATCTCCCAGTCCACTCCTCTCTCACTTGTGACAAAAGATCCTGAAGACTTGGAGCAAGTTTAGAAGACTTTACTCACGTAAGCTGTTACTTTCCATGCGCGACGCTGTGTTCACTGTGTCCCCAAAAAGGCAGTAACGAGGCATRGTGGTTCCCACAACTCCAGCAACTACTGGACCTAAAGGAAGCACACACCGTACATACTAAACATTTTCAAGTGACTCAGTCATTTTACAAGTAGATGTAATTCCTGATGGCACCCTTGAGAAAAGCCTTTATGTTTCTGTACCATTATGTAGCTGCTGGTACAGTCTATTACCTGAGTGTATGCCAATGCGAATTGCAAGGGTCTCGTTTGGCATGTGGGGGATTTTGAAGACTTTAATGGCACTCAGGAAATGTAGAGCCATCATTGATATCTCCAACACATGCTTGTTGCCRTTGCTGATAGGCAGGCCACTAGCTACCATGTATGCATCACCAATTGTTTCCACCTTATGGAGACACAAAGATGGCAGCTTTTAAAACAGTTTTTCCTAAAGATCTACATCAATCAAATAACATTAAAAACCATTAGTAACAGTATATTTAGCTTCAACCATTTAAAAGAGAGAAAACGGTAATCATAAATAGATAAAACGTGATAGATAAGAGTCTTCCTTAAATGTCTTTATTTTATCTGCCATTAATTGATGTCAATGAATAAAATCTTTGGAATTAGCAATAAAATTCTCACTTTCAACAATTCTTACTTTGTAGACATCGTACATCTTTATGACATCATCAAACAGGCTGTAGAGGTCATTGAGGAACGTAACCACCTCCATCGCAGAGCTAACAGAGCACATGGAGGTGAAACCCACAATGTCAGAAAAGAAGATCGTCACCATGTCATAACTCTGTGGCTCCACCGACTTTCCTGCCATCAGCTCGTCTGCAATATACCTACAATCAATAGACCAACACAATCGTGTTAAGGCAGACTGTATTACAGTAATTATGGAAAGTACCATTTGAGTAAACTTGCTATAGTTAGTATGTGTGGCACCTTGGTAACATGCTGGACAGAAGCTTATCTGCCCGGGCTTTCTCTGCTGTGAGCTGATTGGTCCGTTCCTCCACAACCTCCTCCAGGTGATTGGCGTACTTCTCCAACTTATCCACCATGTTATCCAGGATATTAGCGTGACTACACAACATAAAGTTATTACGACATTTTCTTGTTAATTTGTTCAAAAATGCAACTTGTCATTGTACAAATGAGATTATTGTAATTTTTTTATTTTATTTTAGCAGATTTATTCTTGAAACTCAGCCCCATCAAAAACGTGGCATCACTTGTTTCTTTGAAGCAAATAAGTTCCTGTTTTGTTCAAMAGTACGTGACAAAGGCTCGCAGGCACAGACCTCTCTGGACTGATGCCTCTCAGCCGCCTCCGTACTGATGCAAAAGGCGGACGATGGTCGGGGTTCTCGCTCCAACAGTTCTTCAGCAGGGCGTTCACCTGCTCGTCACAAAGCTGATCCGACAGCACCGGCCGCAGAGGTTCCCCTTGGAAAGGCGTCCTCAACTGCATTATGATCTCTTGAGGAAACAGCCAAAAAAACTGAAACATGTTGAGCTGCAGTTTTGGAATAATACTTTTAGTTTTGTTCACTGACTTGAGGTGTTCCAGGATCTGTTCTTTTACAAATTACCATGAAAATTTGCATACAGGTTCATAGTCTCCAGCATTAGTTTAAATGTATTAGTTTTTGTTATTTTTGGTGACTAAATGACAATACCCTTTAATGTTAAAAAGTTTAAAGGGGCAATATTATGTGTTTCTCAGGCATACATTTAAATACTATACCATAATAAAGTATCTATATCACCTTTAGTTGTTATTAAAATGCTGTTTTTAATGTTTAAATAGAAGATAAACTTATCTTCTCATCACTTCCTGTTCTAAACGCCTTGAAATTGGCCTCTGTCTCTTTAAGAACCACCTTCTGTCTTGCCCATTTCGCTGTGTGTGTGTGTGTGTGTGTGTGTGT